GTCCCAGTAGCCACAAGTATTTGAACTGAAACATTTGATTAGGAAAAAAATTAAATTCAGCACACTTAATGTGGTTTAAATGTTATATTCAAACAAATTCAAAGCTTTATGTGGAAAGAAATTGTTTTTATTGGAATACTTGTAAAAATGTAAAGACAATAAATACACAATAGCATGTACTTCCCTAACATTGTTCATTTCAATTTAAGAAAAAAAACAAAGGCACTGAAAACTATTGAGACACTAATTTTAGCACACCCACAGAACTGTGTATGATATGCCATGGTTGCCCACTCATCTACTTCAGCAAAGTTAATTCTCTTCCACCGAGGTCATTGCAGCACCTCCAGTTTCACTGTCACTATCTGTAGAATCACTTGCACTACTTACTAGTTCCATTTCAGAATCAGATTGAGGCAAATCTGATTTGGAACTACTTGAACCACGTTCTTTTTTGCTAAGGAATGGTTTCACCAATGAGTCGATGAGCAAGGGCAGCTTATCATCAAACTGCATCTTCTTCACTAATTGTGCTTTTGACTGATTCTCCAGAAACAAGAGATTTTGAGAAATAGAAACAAACTTGGATGTGCTTTCATTTGTTGGTCTATTCCTCTGTTTTGTCTTCATTGAGCTGAAAGTCTTCCAGTTCTGTTCACAAGAAGCTGCCGTTGGTGGAATGCTTGGGATCCTTAGAGCAATCCCGGACAACAGTTGGGTGTTACAGCATCCCTTCCACCATGTGAGAGGAGACATATTCTCTGCTGCCCGCCAGATGATGTCTTTGCTCCAATTTGTTTATTTTGCACGGTACTCGACAATGTCTGTCGTCACAGTTATTTCATCAATGTTGGGGACATTCTTAGCTACTTCCATAATTATATCGAGAACAGTAAATAATTTATCTTCTGATAAATGTTGTCCTATGTGTTGAGGATCCAAAAGGTTTGCTGCGAGATGAACTGGATGAGCACAAAACTCAGTTCTCTTAGTAAACATTTGTTTTACTACTACAGTAAAAGCTGTGCTATCCCGCATCCTACAAGCCGGCATGCTCCACTAACCGGCATGCTGGCTTGTAAGATAAAGTGAAAATGGAAGTGTCCACCATGGCACTTCCGGTTTCTCCAAGCCCCCATGGCCCAGGCCAAAGCAGCCTGTGCTGCCAAGCCCCCATGGCGCAGGGGCATAACAAGCTGCATAGGACTGTGCGGGGCCTGCCTCCCTCTCCCATGGGGCCTGCAGGGCCTGCAGGAGGGACGGAGGGACGCCCCCGATGCAGTGGGAGAAGTGGCAGCCGGGGCTGCTCAATTAACCAGCATATTTTGTTATCTGTCATCTCCCATTCCTGGGGGATGCCGGATAGCAGAGCTTTTACTGTACTACTTCTTTTTTGGATAGAGGTGAAGGAGATTATGCTCTTTTTTATTTTCCTCATTAGGATTTGACTTCTCCCCCTTTGAACAAAGCCTTTTTTCTGTTTATTGCCTCTGCAACTCTGCCTTTATACCATGCTGGCTTTCTTTTGGTCCACTTGCCATTTTTTTGATTTGCAGTATGCATTTGCTCTGAACCTCCAATATGCTATTCTTAAACAAGTTTGTAAGTTCTTTATCTCCTTAAAGGAACCCCCTGTAACTTCTGTCTAACAAACTTCATTGTGGTAGCATCTCCATTTTTTAAGTTAAAGGCTACTGTGGTAGATATTTTCCTTATGTCCCCTCCTACATGGATGTCTGACCACAGCGCAACTGTGTTTTTATTGCAAACACCCTTTGAACCAGAACCTATGCATTACTTAGGACTATGTCAAGAGTGGCTTTTCCTCTTCTAGGTTCCAGGGCTAACTGCTCCAGAAAACATATTTTATACTGTCAAGAAATTTGGTCTCTGCATCCTAGCACGGTGTTAGATTGAGCCAGTCTACTTGTGGATAGTTGAAATCACTCATTATTACTGTGTTTTCTGCTTTCATAGTCTCTCCCAACTCCCATAGCATTTGTAGTTTGCTGCTGCTGTCCTGGTCTGGGGTCAATAGTATATCTCTAGATGTACTTTTTTTTCTACTGAAACACACAATTTCTATCCACAGAAACTCTATGGTACCTCTCTTTGTACTTGAAAAATCTACCCTATTTGATTTGATTGCAGTCTTTGAAGTGAAGTGCCATTCCCCAACTAGTAAAACCAATTCTGTCTTTCCTGTATAATTTCTATCCCGGTTTTACAGCATTCTATTGATTTTTCCTCTTTCCACCATATTTCTGAGATACCTATGATGTTAATACCATTATTTACTGTGAAACATTCAGGTTCCTCATCTTCGATCTTCTCCAATTAGTATAAAAAGCACTTCTACTTGTTATTGTTCCCAATTAGCTATTTGCATGTGACCTCAAGTAGAGGCAGAGGTGCACTGTAAGCCTAATGCAGTGGTTCTCATCTTTCCAGTCCTGTGGTGTGGATGAGAGACACAGGGATGGTTCATGAGCCAGATTCTGCAGGCTGGATCCAGTGTGGGGTTGGTCTCTGGTTGTAACCCTGCATGCTGGCCCAGTCTTGTGCACCAGATCCAGCTACAAGTACAACTCCAGCTCCATGTACCAAATCTGGTCCAACCCAGCCCTGTGTGCTGTGGCCTTGTTTTGCATGCCAGCATGTGGCGCTCTGTCATTCAGTCCTCAGGGCTCCCCGTAGGTTAGGCAATTTGGTGGCAGGGGAGTGGTGGTGGCACTGGAAACTGGGACAATTAATGCTGCAACTACTCTCCAGCTGCCAAATTTCCAGACCTGTAGAGAGCCCCACAAGCTGCTGATATCCCCTCATGGATCAGATTCATCCCACGGACTGAAGGTTGGGTGCTATGGGACTAATGCACAAACTTTCTTATGCATAGCTATAAAACAGGCAGCCAGTTTACGGTGGCCCCATTGAGGCTGTGATATGACTTGCGTCCAGAGGCAGCATGTTGTTTACACACATGGGGTGTAAATAGAAAATAGACAACCGCTGATCCTCCGGATGATGGTGGCATCAGCGGTGATGATCCCTCATAGTTGAGGATGATCCCTCCCAGGGGTCAAGTAAAGGGTTGTAGATGAGTCTGTTGATGGCTAAGAAAGCCATCCTAGAGCTGCAGACTCTCTGGCAGATAATATAGGTAGTGGTTAAAGGGAGGGTCGAATCGGATTTCTTGGTCTTGTTTCCTTTTCTTTCATTTCTGTTGTTTTTTCTGCTTCTAGGGTGTGATGGCTTTCCTCAAAGTAAGATGTACCTTCTCTTGCAAGGCATCGCCCTGAAGCCCTGTCCTGGGCTAGTTTTTTCCAATTTGTGATGTCAATGCCCCACACACTTCTTAATGTTTGCCTTGAGAGTGTCCTTGAAGTGTTGCCTGCGGCCCCTGCATGTCCTTAGTCCTTGGCTGAGTTAGGAGTATAGCAGTTGTTTCGGTAAACATATATCAGGCCTGGATCATGATGTACACATAAGAGGTCTAGTCAGATGCCTGATGAATCCACTTGTGGCTGGCAAGCTGAACATGAGAGCGACACAACTTGTGACAAGTTTCACAGATCCATGTGTTTTGTGAGTTGGAGTTCAAATTTAGAGTATGCTGCTTTCTTCTTTCTCACTTTGCTTCCCTCCTCTGGATCAAAGCTGCTTCACTGTGCTGCACCTAGTGCCAGATGCTCCCTCCAGATCTGACAGGATTCTGCGCACTCCTCCCAGCTTTCTACCTCACTGTGATCTATTTCGTATCTTTTTGCGCGAGTAGAAATGAAGTCTGATCAGCTGCCACTATTCCGAGGCCCAGGGTCAGAGTAGGGCTGAAGGGATCATCTAGTCCAGGCCGCTGCTCAAGGCAGGCTCATCCCTGCCTAACATCCCCACCAACCTAAGTGTCTGCCACCTGCCTTTGAAAGCTTCCAGGGCTAGAGATCTCACAGCTTCTCCAGGGAGCTTGCTCCCATGCCTGACCCCCTCAGTCACAAAGGTCCTTGTGACCTCCAGCCTCAACTTCCCCTTGCTGCAGGGGGTGTTGTGACTCCTAGTCCTGCCTCTATGGCTGTAGCTTCTCTGCACCCTCCTGTAGGAGTTTGAGGTAGGGGAACCCTGGGGCTTTCCTAGGTGCTTTAAGGTGGGGCTATGGGCTTGTCTATCTCTGAGGACTGGGGAAGAGACACTCATGGTGTGTGTGCATGTATTCACTTTCTAATGGTTAAGCCAACTTCACTTTCTTAAGTCGACTTAAATGTCACAGCATACACCATAGGTGGAGCACAGTTGACTTAAATGCTGTGCAAGACAATACACCTCCCGGACCTCTTATCTCCAGTTCATTGAAGTCAACTCAGCTCCCAAATTGGCTGTCACTGTTACGAAGCTGCATGTATGTACTCTCTAATGTCGCTTATTTTAAGTCGACTTAGTAAGCATGTACACAGCGCCGCAGCCCAACGGAGCTGGATTGCGCCGCGTCGCTGTTGGCCTGGAGTCCGCCTGCCCCGCACCAGCAGTGCCTTTAAGACACGAAGCGACAGCGGAAAGCGCCTACGTCACCGCTACGGCTACGCCCCGCCCCTCTCCTCTCCCCTGGTGCAGCGGCGGTTGTTGCCCCTCCCCCTCAGACCCCGCCCTGGCACGCGGCGCGTGACGTCCTCCCTTAGCCGACCATGATGCCCCGCCCCCGGGCCGCGCGCGCGGAAGCGAGGCTGACGTGCGGCGGCGGCGCAGGGCGTTGTGGGAACGGGAGAGGGCGGGGCGGGCCGGCGGGGCGGGGCTG